GGACGTCTCACCCTTGTTGCCGACGGTGTCGAGGGCCATGCGGTTGGTGGCTAGGTCGCGCTCTTCTTGTGTGAGCCACCATGTGTTGTGCGTGAAGTCTGTGGAGGTGGAGGGGCGAAGTCAGTGTATGTCTCACATGCACTTCGTACAGTCGTTCTGAGAACTTACCAGGGAGCAGGAAGAAGCCAACAACGGCGATGACAAAGGTGACAGCACCCTGGAGGATAAACAGCCAGCGCCATCCCGTGATGCCAGCGACGTCGCCGAGACCGTGGAAAATGCCTGCGGCGATGAGGCCGGCGAAGGCGGTCGCGAGGATGTTTCCGGTGTAGAGAATGGCAATGCGGGTGGCGACTTCCTTGCGGGTGTAGAACATGGAGAGCAGGTAGACGGCGCCGGGGTAGTAGGGCGCTTCTGTTACGCCGAGGAAGAAACGGGTTAGGAGGAGGCCGGTGAAGTCTTTGGAGAGGGCTGTCAAGGCGGACACGACGGCCCAGAGCATCATGCAGCAGCCCATGTAGCGCGATGGACGGGTGCGGTTCAGGAACATGTTGCTGGGGATTTGGCCGAGGAGGTAGCCGACGAAGAGGATGGACACGCAGGTTTGGTATTGCTCGCTGGTGAGGTTTAGGTCTAATTCGAGTTCGTCGAGGCGGGCTAGGGCGATGGCGTTGCGGTCTAGATAGGGTGGGTTGTGAGTGCATGCTTCAAAGGAGATCAGTGTGACAGTGGAGTAACATACCAAGGTAGTTGAGCCAGTACATGCTCCACAACATGGGCATAATCCATCGGTCCAGCTTCTTGACAAGCGCAATCTCTCGTGGATCAGTCTTCTCGTAAGCACCAGAGTAATCCACCTTGCCGACAATGGGCACAGGCTTCATGAGCTCCTCATCCCGAGTCATCGTCTGCTCGAGCATGACGACATCGTTCTTCTTCTCAGTCATGATGGGTGGTCGTTCAAAGAAACCTCTCTGAAAAGATAAGAGTATTAAGTATGAAGAGGTATAGGGGTAAGACGCCCGTTGGATCACCGAAGCCCTCGCTGGTTGATCTGGGGAAATCAACAATCCGGGGAGACGTGGAGTAGCACTCTTATACACCATCCCATCCCCGCCCTCCAGCGTCGCACAAGTGCAGTGGATCCCATACTTTCGCCCCAGATCCTTCTCTCCACACAACCTTGGAAACCATGTTCCGAAATCACACGACAATTGTCTTAGGTACCTCCGCGCATGCATGCGTTCCAAGACATGGTAAGCGCGCTTCTTCCGGCCGCCTTGGAAATACACTTGAGGCTGAATGGGCGCTGGGGGAATGGGGTCGCGGGGTCCCCGAAGGCAAGTCTGCCCGCTGGCTTGGTCTTGGAAAAGGACTATCATTGTGCGTTCTGCCGAATCGCGAAGATGCAAACGTGCGGCACACAAGCTCGGAGGGCGTACCCTAGGTGCTGGGCGTGCTTAGTGCTGGGTTGGCTTTGCCGCCTCCGGTGGTTTTTTGGGCAAGGACAGGTATGTCGGAGCCGGTGGTCGGTGGTCTCGTGTTCGGTCTAGTGGTGCCCGCATCGTGAACTTTGCTGTTCAGCGGGGAGTAGGCGCTCACGTAGTGTTGGTACAACCTTCAACGAGGGACGCAGCACTCTGGCGTAGAGTTGACGGCTTCCATCATGCCATCCCTTGCTCTTCCTCCTCCCCAGTCCATCCTGGCTGACGTCGCAATGAGGACACGAAATACGGTCCCTCGTCCCGGGAAGGTAACCCGCAAAATACCAAGACTCTTTCCTGACATGAACGTCGCATTGATACTCCGAGCCCACTACTCGTGACTGGTTCCGGTGAGGAGCCCAGCCCCGACCCTGGAGTCTTCGTGGTCTTGTCGCAGAGAAAAGGCACATTGGCAAGCCACCGAAATCTTGGTGTTGCGCCATGTCGCGCGAGGTCAAGTGTTTTCATAGCTTGTCAGTCGAGGCCAACGTCGCACTTGGGCCTAGGCCAAGGGGGCCGAGACACGTCCAAGATCTTGAGCCTGCGCTGCCATTGCGGGGAAACTAGATGGCGTGCACGCTTGTCGCACGGATGGGGTGTTAGACGCGGTCTTTCGGTGCGTGGTTTATGGGTCCCCACCAGGTTTCTGGATGACACAAGTCCGCGGTGGGATTGGTTTGCGGTTTAGCCTGAGGTTTCGTCTCGAGGCCGCTGGCTGGGGAGAAGGAGCTAAAAGTCTTTCCGCTGTGGATTGGGCCAATCAACGCGGAGCCAAGTCAGTCCGCCGGGCCTTCATCGTCTTGGCCATCATCCAACAAAGGAATATCCCACAACTTTGCTTGGTTTCTCCACGGGGCAGACCGGGTTCGTCTTTCGGTACTTGGTGATGCTAAACAATGAGACGCCGCATTGATGGTTCTTGGTAAATGGCTAGTTGCCGTCTAAGCGGTGCGGCTGGTGTGCAGCGGTGCCTCATCCGAGCCTGTGCCATGGAAGGATCACAGTAGAGATCGTTTAGGCCATGTGCTCAAGAGAATTTGTCGGGTCGTCCTCGTGCTTCACGGCCGTGTTCACCTGGTGTGCGGGTGCGATAGCGAAGGGAGGTGGCCAACGGATCGCGAAAACGTCCACTACCCCATGGGGTTGTGGAGCGAAACGGTTTACCAGCACTTTGGAAACCTTCTGGTGCGTTGTCGATCACTGCTACCACGAGGTCGTCTGGAAGCAGCGACCAAAGGTGGACGTCCAAGTGTTGCTTGCCGCGATAACGACCACCACGACGGCGAGTACACCACTACTTATAACGTTACTCACGGAAAAGTATCCGTACACTGCTGTCAGGTGCCCAACCGAGGTATTGTGCGCCTACTGACAACAAGCGGGGACCTTCTGAACGTTAAGGCCGCCTGCTGCGCATTATGGGCTGTGCTACCAATGAAGAAAGTCTAAGTACGAGAAATTACCAAAGTACAACAAGCATATCTACGGATACGATCTATTCAAGACTCGCAAATCAAAACGCTGACCGAGATCTCCAGGTCTCACACCCACGCCTCCAACTCCTTCTCAGTCCACTCCCACAACTCCTTCGCCAACGCCCGATCCCGCCCCAGCTTCGTACTCGGCGTAGTCTTCACACCCACCGGCTCATAATAAGCTCCATTGACCAAGTTCTCCTTCTTGGTAGTAGCCGCCCACGTCTGATTGTACGCACCCTGTTCGGTATCGAGCCAATTTCCACCGGAGATGATATTCACAACCTGACGATCCATAAAGTTCGTGCTCGCGAAAAGGTCCGTCTTAATAAAACCAGGATGCACCGCCACAGACGTGATACTCGGGTGATGAGCAGCCAACTCAGTCGCGTAAAGCAGATTGGCTAGCTTGGACTGGCCGTAGCAGACCCATTTGTTGAAGCTGAAGAAAGAGCCGTAATTTGCGCCTTTGATCTTGAGCTTTGAGAACTCGATGCCGGTGGAAGGCACGTTTTGTTTGTAGGCTACGGATGAGAGGTTGACGATGCGGACATCAGCGTTGGGCTGCGATGCGGTGTTGAGCATGACGGGCATGAGCAGCTTCATGAGTAGCGCGTGGCCGAGGTGGTTCGTTGCGAATTGTATTTCGTAGCCGTCTTTGCTTACGTCGTCGGGTACGGCCATGATACCCGCGTTGCACATAAGAACATCGAGGCGATCAGATGACGACAGGAACTGTTTGGCGGCAGATTGGACGGATGCGAGACTTGCGAGGTCGCACTCGATGAAGGTTACTTTGGTGGAGGGTGAGGCTTTGGCGATCCTGGAGATGAGTTCATTGGCGCGGGTATTGTTGCGGCCGCTGAAGAAGATGTGTGCAGGGTTATGGGATGCGAGGAAAGATATCGATGATGCTCCAAGACCAGTGGTGCCTGTGAAGGTTAGTGAGGGGGTTGCTGGATCGGACGTAAAGGACGCCACATACCACCGGTGATCAGGAACACTCTGCCAGACTGGTCGGGAATATCGGATGCGGGGTTGAACTTGATGTTGGACACCATGTCGAGAGGATCTGTTCAGATGGCTTTCAGGGTAGTAAGTTCCAAGGTTTGTTCGACTTGTTGTGATTGTGTTGCAGAGTCGTTGGCAGGCTTGAGATGCCGAACGATAGCCATCGCAGCCTGCTATCTAAATACTTCATCTCTTGCGCCTCCATATCTGTGTGGTTGGCCTTATGTGAGGTATGTGGAGGATAATCGGCATGATGTTGGCATCGTTCCGGCCCTCTATGCGAGGGATGTGGCTTCAACGTCATCGGGGGCCAAAGCCACGGCCGTTGCTGCGAGCGAAGCGCCACACCGTGCGACCACGCCCTAACATTGCGCCGACTCACTCAAGCATTAACCTCCATCTCCGCGCATTAAGTACGAGAGGCCCCGGATCGACCTGCAATCGCCACTGCTATTTTCCTGTATCTCACTCTTCTTGTCTCTTCCTTTGATCGTCGTCATTCCTTCCTGTGGTGTTTCTAGCAGGGAGGAGCAGAGGCTGACAGCTGCAAGCCACCCAGGCATCAACGACGAATCACATCAAAACGGTTAAACAAGCTTCGATATCCACACAAAGCTCGATCATATCTCCGGATCTATACAGAGCCACTTCCGCGGCGGTCGTGTCTGGTTCGAGCGGCATTCGATTTCCCGGGTTGTGAAGAAACCCGCAGCCGTGCTTACTGACTCCCAACGGCCCGTCTTTCTCTTTGTTCTGCGTCTTTGTCTTTACGGAGCAACGATTACAGCAATTTATTCAACACTTAGTGAGCGCGGCTCGATTACCAAGACAGCCGCTGCTTGTTCACAGTTGGCGGATGGTTGCCCTACCGCCGTCGATGATATCACACTAGTCAGCTACACATATCTACTGTCACACGAAGTTCAAGACTTCTTGTAGCTAATCTCATAGCGATAGGAATGCGAACATGACGACTAAGCAAATCCGACAGGTCAAATTGGAGTTGCAGATTTACTACACCTCTATCTCGCTACTTTCCCTTGTATTCTTTCGGACCACATCCCCACTCTGACTCAGGATGTGTCATGAGATATTCAATAGATGGTATGTTGTTCTCGCCAGGGTTGGAAACGACCTCTGAGTCTGAGGTTGAGTCTGGCCCTCCCCCGCGCTGTTTACGTGTCCTAGCCATCCTCATTATCGCGTAATGCGGTGGGATATTTCTGTTCCAAGTCAGTATACGCAAGATGCCAGGAGAGATACGCAAAACAACCTACCCTTTCTTTTCTTGCAGCAGTTCTCGCCCAATTTTTATCAAGGTTTCCTCGTTGTCCTGAGAATAACCTGCCAGAATTGCCTCCTTCCTACAAGCAAGACGGAGCGCATCGGAGTAGCTGTATAGTCGCATTGCCGCGTAAGAGGCACCATTAGGATTTAGTCTCTCCTCGAACGGCAGAGCCTTCAGGTCATCTTTTTTCAAGCCGAGTTGTTTCTCGCACATAGTCTTGGTAAGACACTGGATCCCAATAGCATCGAGCGAGTTCTTGTCGTCGTCATTTTTGTTATTGGCAAGCCACTCTTTCCAATCTGTCTTCCCCTGCTTGTCTTTCCTTATCCGCTCCTCATTCGCGGCTTTCAGTCTGGCCTTTTCTGCAGCAGCTGCAAGTTCGGCTGGGGTCTTCGTCTTCTTCTTGCGTGATTTCTTGACTGGCGTGACGGGGTATTTGGACTTCTTGCTTGCTTTGTCGGGTGTGAGAGGCTCAAAGTCACTCTCTTCGGGCGTGGCCGGGCGTTTGCGTTTCGATCTATTCGCTGCTGTAGGAGAGGCTTCTACCTCCTCCTGCGGGGACAGAACTTCACGTTTAACTTTGACAGTTGATGAAGGTGGAGTCAGTAGTTGTTGTTGGGGTGGGGACAGCGAGGCGGGGTCCTCTTTAACGACAGGGTATGGCGTCTCTGCTGCCATTTTCGAATCTCGGCGACGAGGTGGCATGTTGGGTGAATTCGAAAGAGAAGTTCCCGAGGTCTTATAGCAGCGGCGGTAAGACACTTCTACAATGTCTTTGGGAGAAGCTCAACACATGTAAGACAATGCGATAAAGGTACTCAGGGAATAGCGACGTTGGAACAACTGTGCCGCTTTATCAACTTGCCTTCCAAGCAAGGGTTAGACTTGCTGCACACTGCGGGGTAAATGTACCAAAACAGTTATCTTGGATGCCACGTCAAGACGCATCGAGATATTGGTAAACTACCACAACTAGCAATATCGAGATTCTTCGGAATGATGGTGGTGCCTAGTACGACACAACGATGGTAGCCCCCACGTCAAGGCTCCGAGAAAACACTTGCTCACGAAAACAGGTTCACTGCACAAAGCCCAAGAACAAGACTAGGGCTTTCAGATTATTGAGAGTCTAGTAGCCACTCCGGTTATGGTCATCCCCATACTTCTCGCACATCAACCTATCCTCCTCATCCTCGCGCATCCGCCTGAGTTCGTCTTGTCGCATCGACTCTTTGTAGCGTGCAATCTCCGCCCCGGACCTTCCCCCTTTGGCATACAAGAGGTTGTCGTAATTACTGGAGAGTGTTAGCATCATTGCAGCTGCAGTATACATCGGTCGCTTACCCTCTGGCGTGTTTATCCGCAAACAGCTTCTTCCCTTTGGCAAGGAACTCTTGCTCGTTGTCCTGCGATACGCCGGCGAGCATGGCTTCTTTGCGAAAGGCTAGTTTCCCGCAATCATCCCATCTGTAGTCCCGCTGCGGCATCTGGTTGAATGCGTTCACGGAGGGGCGATGTGGGATGCACTTGAGCTCATCTGACTTCAGGTCGAAGAATGCCTTCGCGTTTTTGACGTTTACATTCTTTCCTAGCTCGCCGGAAGTGAGTGTCTCCTCGGTCTGGTTGTTGGATACCCAATCTTTCCAGTCCTTCTTCCATTGCGCGACTAGCTTCTTTCGCTCTCGCTCGGCTTTCTTCGCATCGGCAGCTTCTTTCCTCTTCGCTGCGTTGGCGGCTTTGACTGCGGCCTCTTCCTCTTTCTTCTTCGCCGACGCGAGCTTTTTCGCAAGCGCTTCTTCAGACTGTGCTGGCTTCTTAGGCGTTCTTGGTCCACGTGAGGCTTCGCTCTTCCTCGCTACCTTTGAGGGCGTCTTGGTTTCGGCATCGTCGTCGTGCTGTGCTGGTCGCTTAAGGTTGGGCGTTTGCGCTTGTTCAGCTGGTTTAAGCGGCTCGACCAACGTCTCTTCGATACCCGTTACTTTGGGCCCGTGCTCATCGGAATCCGGAGGGGGGGTTTGGAGTTGCTGGCGGCTCTCTGTTGATGATACCATCGCTGGATCGGAGTTCATGATGTCATTCAAGAGGGTTGAGTGCGAAGCTTGGAATAAACAGAAGGGTCAATGGCGTCGGATTGCTCAAAATACTACTAACGTTGGCAATTTGGAAACCAGAGATTACGGGAACCAGATGTGGCATTTGAAAACATATATACCGCGCACTGCGTTCGATCAAGAGACCCTGCAGCTGTGTCAACCTTATCGCATGGGGCTACAGGTGGGGTGGTGCCCGTGCCGCCAGGATGCCAGCCGTTTCCGGGCTACGTCACCCCCACCTCATTACCCCTGATGTCCCCACCATGTACCCTTCTCGTCACCAACCCTGAAACTGCTAGCACCTACATTAGTAATGCCTAATATCACGCTACAAAAGACGTTATAGTACATGCTTATAAGCTTATTAATTACTAGTCTACTTAATTTACTTATTACTTTTACTTACTTTAAACTTTAACTAAAATATATTTTACTTATTTTTATACTTTCTTTTAAAATTTATTTATAAGTATATTAATAATTATTTTATTAGTAGTAGTAGTATTATTAGTAAAGACTTTTTTATAAAGTTATTTAAGAGTTTTTAGCTTTATATATATAAAAAGCTTAATAATATTATTAAAAGTATTATTAGAGATAAAGATAGTAGTAACTTTATAATAAGTAATTGTAAAGAATAGAAAGGTAATAATAACTATTCTCTAATAATAAAATATAGCTTTGTTAAAATAAAGTAGTTAAATACTATAATAAATAGTATAACTAATAAAGATTGTAATAATTAATTATAGAGTAGATAGTAAGTAAAAAGTAATAATATTATTACTAAGTAAAGAATAACTATAGAAAATTACTATTTCTTTTATAGAAAATAGCTACTAGAATAATTATGTAAATATTTACCTATTTCTACCTAAAGATAAAGATTTATAATTAAATCTACTTAATTTCTAGATTTATAATCTAAGTCTACTAAATCTTTCTTATTTTCTAGATTTATAATCTAGACTAGTACTAATTATATTAGTCTATGCGTTATATTATATAAACTAATAATTAGTTTATTACTAGATCTTTTAGTAATTACAGAAAGAGAGATAAGAAGATAAAAGTTATTAAATTACGTAATAACTCTAATATTAACTAAGCTAAGATAAATAAAAGTATTTTAGAATCTTCTAGTATAGCAGATTAAAACTAGCTACTAAAATCTTAATTACGTAAGTAATTAGATTTACTAGAAATTTTTCTAATTTGTTAAGAAATTATAATAAGTATAATCTTAACAAAGCTTAATAATAAAAAGATAATAATAACTAAGTTATTATAATCTTTACATACTCTCTTAAGCTATAGTTTATAATAACTAAATAATAAGAGAATATAAGTAGTTTTTATAACTAACTTATTAATAATAATTTATATAAGAAGTTTTAATAACTATCTTAAAACTAAAAACCTATTTCTATTTTTATTTCTATTTACTAATATAAATAGTTATATAATAATAACTAAATATAAAGCCTAGACTAGAATCTCTAAGGTATAAGAACTTAGAGGTTAAAAACCTAAGTTCTGTAGTAATAGTATTAATATACTATTTTTATTATTATAAATAAATTATAATAATAATAACTAGTTATAAATAATTAATCTAGTTTAACTAGACTAATTCTATTTATAAAATCTTTAAATTTAGAATAACTAGTAGATTTAGTTAGATTATCTGCTAGAATAGTACTAGTATTTTTGTAAACTAGATTTATTTTATTATCTAGTAGATTTTCTCTAATAAAGTAATAAGTTATATCTACGTGCTTAGTTCTAGCGTAAAAAACAAAGTTTTTAGCTAGTTCTATAGCACTTAAAGAATCTATTTTAATAATATTAGTTCTATTAAAAATAGAACTAAATTCTTTAATAGAATTATTATTAAAAAGATCTTTAATAAAATTATTAAGATATAAACTTTCTTTAGTAGCTTCTTTTAAAGCTATATATTCTACTTCTACACTAGAAATAGCTATAGTTTTTTATAGTTTTAAAATCTAACTAATAGCTATATTATTATTATAATTACTTTTAGAATTATTTAAAATAAATATATTACCTGTAGTAGATTTTCGAGAATCTAAATTACCTCTCTAATCTAAATTACTAATACCTAATAAATTAATACTATTATTAATATTATTAATAGTATTATTATTAGAATTATTAGATTCTAAAGATTATAGAGTTAAATCTAAGCTATAATTACTAGTCTTTAATAAATAACTAAATATAAAATTTAAATATTTATAATGTTCTAGACTAGAATTAGATATAAATCTAGCTAGGTAATTTACACTATAAACTAGGTTAGGCCTAGTAAATATAGTTAAATAAATTAAACTACCTATTTCTTTTTAATAGTCTTTAATAATAGAACTATCTTCTAAATTTTTAGATAATTTAACTTCTATAGGTAAAAGTATAGATTTAGGCTTATTTAAAAGCTTATTATATTTAAATAATAGTTTATTAATAAAACTTCTTTACGTTATAATTAAAGATCTCTTAGATCTATCTCTAATTATTTCTACGCCTAGAAATTCTTTAATTTCTTCTAAATTAGTTATTTCTAATTTAGAAGTTCTAGTTAAATTCTTATATAACTTATTAACTAGATTTATATTTTTAGCAAATACTAATATATTATCTACGTGTGTAGCTAATATAATAGATTTAGTATTATATATAAAAATACTATTATCTATATTTAAAACTTTAAAATCTAGTTGTTCTAGAATTTTAGTTAAAAATAATTACTACTACCTAAAAGCTTATTTTAGACTATATAAAGCTTTATTTAATCTATAAACTAGATTATTAAAGTCTTTATTTAAAAAAGCTTTATTAATAAAGTCTATTAAACTTTTATCTATAATATCTTTTAAAGCTTCTTTTAAGATATATTCTTCTAGGCCTATAGGCAATTGTATATAAATATTATTATTATCTATTTCTATATTAGAAAAAGCTTATTTAATATTCTAAGTATAGATTTTCTAATCTAGATAGTAGAAAATAGCTAATAATAGCCTAATAATACTAGGCTTACTAGTAGAAGCAAAAGTTTCTTTATAATTAATATTATATTTTTATAGAAAGCCTTTAGCTACCTATCTAGCTTTATATTTTTTAATAGT